AAAAAAAAAAAAAAAAAAAAAAAAAAAAAAAAACAAATCAACGGGACTAAAGGTCTTAAGTTACTTCAGCACTGTGGAAAATTTTAACCCAGGCTTGAAAAATATAAATCCATGAGTTATGGTCCAGTAGGGCATAGAGCTGTTCTAGGTGATTCTGATGTAGGATTGGAGCTCAGCCCCGGGCTGCAGTTTAACTTGAAAAGTATGTTTAATGGGCAATGATTTACTTCAAAAGACACACAATTTATTAAAGCCTTTGCTATGAAGCCTGGGGTGCAAAAAAACCCCCTGATTGTACCAGGTGCTTTCTGAGCTTACCACAGGAAATAATTCTGAGGTGTATTTCAAAGTGTTTAAATGTTTATTCTTAAACATAGCAATTGCTTCATTATACCTTACATCTTCAAAGCACTTTGCTTATATTCTCACCACCCCTGCGGCAAGGCAAGTGAATGTTACTCTGGTGTATACTGAATGTGCATCTACTTTGATTGTATTTGGAGAGCAGTAATTCCCATTTTGTGTACCGATAACTGTATGTTGCACTGATTTTTTTGGCCTCAGAGACTGGTACGCACACACGTTCTAGACATGCCAGACTACAGCACTGAGGCCTCTGGACAAACTCATTAGCCAGCAAGGTGAAGCAATCGGCTTCTTCTCAGTGTTTGAAGAGAGATGAAGGGAGAAGCATCTGTTTGTTATATCAGGCCTTCATCAGTAAGACAGCATTATCATCCACTAAATGTCATAGCATTCTTACTTGAGCTGCTTCTTCTGGTGTTACAGACAGACTGGAACAGGTGCTGTCAATTAACCTGTTTGAGCCACTTGTTGAACTAGAAAAGCACTCCTGGCACAGCTGTCTAACTACATCCTTTGAGGAAGCCTGCAAAATAACAAGGGGAGAAAAGAGGGTGTTAAGAAATCGTTGCTTATAAAAACAGCAGAGGACTTAGGTAGTGCTTCAAAGCACTGAACTGCTAAATCTGTGGTCTGCCTATCCTGCAGCTTGGTATCAGTCCGACTTTGAAAGCAGAGAAATGAAGTGATTTGCGTGAGGCCACATAGAGTCAGTACCAGCAGGGGGTTTAGAAGTCAGAACATGCTGCGTGGTCCCATTCCCCCTGCATGCTGCCTTTCAAACCTTGGCCCTTTGCTGTTAAGACCCACAAAGCAGGATAGCAAGTCTTGTTTTGTAGAGCATGAAGCCACTTGGAAAAAAAACTGAGGACAAGGCCCTCTGTTCATAAAGTTTGCAGATGCTTGCTAGGAAGTTATGAGATTGATGGAGCTCCGTGATATGAATATGGCTGCAGAGCACTTGTGCTAAGCAGGTGGCACCTTTCTAAACCCTCTCCACTTTAAACATCTCATCTGCCTTGTTTCCCCAAGCTCAGGAAGCACCTGCATTCAGCTCTCCTCCAAGAGTCGCAGCTCTCAAAGTGATTTCAGGAGAGGAAAGGGGATTAGAGAGGTTTACTTCTCTCTCTCACTATTAATGAACCCCACACCCTATTTGCTCTCTATACACTTTGCAGGCATTGGCTCCCTGCAGGCTCCTCTTGGACACACTTCAGCAGCTGTCTTGCCATACGCAGATTTTAAAAAAGGAAGTGGTATCATGCAAAGGAAGGCAGCCTGTGAAACTCGGCATTTACCTTCAGTAAGATCTGCAGAGCTCCAAACTGCTCTTCTCTCACTGCAGCCATCTTCACCCCAGCACATGACCACAGAAACTAAGCAGCATAAGAGGTGGAGTGTCAATCACATGATGGTCCCTGCTGCTGCTGCTTTGCATTGTGGACACTGTAGTTCTCCTTGCAGCCTGGCGGGTCATGTCAAGCCTGGCGTTACAGGAAAATGATCACCAGTTTTTGTTTGTTTGCCATGTCATGGCACTCCAGGCAGGGTTTGTTCCTGGAGCCTCCATCCTGAAATCAGTCCTGTGCAGGAGCAGCTTTACCCCGGTGAGTAATCCCACTGAAGTCCACGGTATTGCTCACGTAAGTAAAGATACTCATGCGTGTGTATGTTTGCAGGGCTGGGGCCACCCCTTTTTATAGAGACGTGGTCATCTTAAATTGAACTCAAAGCTTTGCTGTTGCCAATTCGCATAGATCTACAACTGAAAACAACAAGTAACACAAGCAATTGCTGAAATGAGTTTGGCACCCAGAGGTCACCACACTCAGTGCCTAAAAATGAAATTTAAACCAAACCAAACAGGAGTGAAAGTGTTTTCGTTGCTTTTCATTGGCCTTTCTCCACGCACACGATCTTCTGCCTCTGTTTCCCCTGCTAACGCACCCCTTCCTCTGAATCTAGGTTAGTATAGTGTGAGCCTCAGTACAGTATTTTGCATTTATCTTTGCCCCGTATCCATGAGTTACAAAGTGCCTTATAGCTGTTAACTTCTTTTAAGCAATGTAATGCTCTTTCGAGAAAGGGGAACATCAGGACAAAATCATTAACGTGTTCATTTTCATAATGTGGCCATTTTACAGATGAATATCCAGGCACTGGGACTTGACCATGGTTTCACAGCGAGTTAAGGGCAGAACAAGAAACAGACTGAGCTTCAGAAATCTTGACTCCTAGTTTTCTGATCTAATTGCCAAGCTGCTCCCATTCCTAAAGATCCAAGCATCTTCTCTCTATGAGATGCATAGCTTAGGGAGAGCTAATATCAGTATTTTAACAAAAATACTTCCTGTCCTAGCAGTGGCAAGCCATTGACAGCACCCTTGTCCCCCTGCTTTACATGTGTTAACTTAAAGCATGTGTAGCAGACTTGCCTTTCAGAGCTTGGGTTGAGTCCCAGACTTGAAATCTTGCTGTTTTGATTGGTGGAGAAATCTTGCTGTTTTGATTGGTGGAGCCCATCCACCAATCAGGAGGCAGCAAGAGGAGTTGAGTCACGCCCCTTTCCTGAGGAGAGGGGAGAAGAGCTCCCTGACTGATTGAAGACTGCAACACTCAGGTTGCAAGACTTCAGGGGAGGAGCCCTGGAGTGTATAAAAGGAGCTGCATGCCCAGCATGAGGGAGCACATCTAGGGCAGAGAAGAGCGGGGTTGGAAAAGCTGAGGAGAGCTGCTCAGTGGGGTAAAGGAGTAGCCCAGAAGTGCCCCTCAAGACTTCCATCAGCAGGGAACGGCAGACGGCTCCAGCACAGCACACAGCGTCCAGACCCTAGGAGCTGCATGGGGCGGCTTGGGTCTGCAACCTCTGGTATGTAGCCAGAGACACAGTGCAGAGGCCGGTGCGTGATCTTTGGAGTGCTTGGGCAGCTCAGGTCCTCAACCCCCAGAACGAGGCTGGGAGCTCGGTGCAGGAGACACTGCATGGAGGGTCCAGGAGCAGACCGAGCGTGGTGCTGCACAAGGCAGCCTAGGTCTCCAGCCTGTAGCAAAAGGTTGAGTCTAGGGAGCCAGACAGTGCTTGGGCTACTGAGCCAGAAGACAAGTCTGAGCCAGGGGCCCCAGAAACCCTGCATAACAGAGCCCTGTTCCAGGGGACAGCGACCCCCGCCTCAAAGCAGGCAAGAGAGCAGCTTGGCACAAAGGATGAGGGCCACCCTCCAGGCCTGGGAGCAGTGAGTTTCAGGGAAAAGAGGATTCCCACTAGGGACGGGGAGTCCCCCCCGGTTAGTTAAGGGCTCCTGGAAGTGGAGGTCCCACTGGGAGGGACCCCCTAAAACAGGCTTGTCCAACATACGGCTCGTGGACTGCCATGCGGCCCGCCAAGCCATTTTATCTGGCCCAAGGCACCAGCTCCGTGCTGCACGGCGGCTGCAGGGCAGCAGCGAGGCGAGGTGGGCAGGGGCCACCCGCGGGCTGCAGCTGGCAGTGAGGGGAGGGGATCTGCTTACACCACGGGGCTGGGCTCATCAGTGAGCCGGGTCCTGCCACCACTGGGGACAGCGTGTGCAGCTTGTTCCTTGGCTCCACCCCTTGCCCCAGCGCATGGCCAGGGGGGCTGCAGCATGGCCTGTGCCCTGCCCGCATGCATGGTGGACAGGCACGTGGTGGACAGAGGTAAGTTCCCACGCAGAGTTGGGGGCACTGGGCCAGGCCGGGGTTGCAGGGCACGCGGTTGCCGGTGCCCGTGCCGTGTGCTGCTGGAGCAGCCCCATACGGGAGGCCAAGCACCGGCCACTGGCACTGCCGGCCTGTGCCTGCTTCCTCACCCACCCACCCGCTTCAAGCCAGCCCCGCTGCCCTGCTCTGTCCCATAGCAAGGCGGCACCTGCTTCCCTGGCCAGTCTCCTCCCAGGCGCTGCGGCTCTACGGGCCTGGCCGTCCGTGCGCGAGGCCCCGAGGGGGCCGCTTCTCATGCGGTGCTGGGGATGGGAGGAGGCCGGCCAGGTCTGCACCGGCCAGCAGAAGCCGTGGTGGAGCCGTGTGCCGCTCAGGACGGGACGAGCGGGCACCGGTCAGTCCCGAGTGGCACACAGCTCCGCTGCCACTTCTGCTGGCTGGTGCAGACCTGGCTGGCCTCCTCCCATCCCCAGCAGCACATGGGAAGCCGGCTTCAGCTGCATACTGTTTTTCCTGGCTGGTGCCAACCTGGTTCTGCCCAGGCGGGTCCTGCAGCACCATGTCAACCCAGGAATGGCACTGGCAGGCCAGGCGGGCCCCAGGTTAACCCCAGCCTGTCCCCATGGCTTCTCCAGCACCAGGTCAACCCGGTTGTAGCCAAGTGGCTCCTGCAGCACCATGTCAACCCCAGGCATGCATGCTGTGTCAACCAGCACCATGTCAACCCCTGCAACTTCATTGGTGTCAAAGGTCACATGACATCACTTCCTGATGTGATACCACTTCCTGTGATGTATTTGAATATGGCTCGCTGGCCCACTGGGTGATAAAAAGTTTGTGATCCGGCCCCACGTTTAAAAAAGTTGGACACCCCTGCCCGAAAGTTAGCAGCTTCCTTGTAGAGCTTGGGAAAAACCCCAGGGCATTGGGGTTTCCTGTTGGGATTAAGTTTATCTTTGGGGTCCTTGCGCCGTAAGTGGTGTGATGTCATGCCTTATATTTTCTGAACTCTCATGTTTGTAGATGAGTAGAGTCCTAGGGCTCTGCTGGGACCCCCGTTGCTATTATTTCACCTGTTGTTTATTTGTATTTATTTGTGGCTTATTTGTTGTTCACCCATACTTATCTGTAGTTTAGCTGTTGGCTATCTATGTTTATTTTGAGGTTTATCGGTTTCAGATCAGATGCTTACTGGTATCTGGAGCACTGGTGTAAGGTTTTATAGCATTTACTCAGAGGGTATTGTTTGTTATTTGTTTAGATATCTTATATATATTGTATATATGTTTATATCCATGTTTGTTTTCCTTGTGATAAGTTAATATAAATAAATTTGTATATAGTTAAGTCCCCTGACTGTCCTGGCCTGGTTCTGTAGGGACGGAGGGAAACTGAGTGGTCTGCAGTTCCCCCACAGCACACCTGCCAGCTAACAATCCCTTTCAATTGGAGAAGGGGAGTATATACCCGAGTTACCTGGGCTATGCATGTTTTTGATGTTTTGGGCAGTTGCTGTGTGTGAGGGTTGTTCCTAAAGTTCTTAAAAACACATTAGACCCCTGATTGGGATGGTCCTGCCTTGACCAGATTGGTTGGATGAGATGACCTCCTGAGGACCCTTCCAGCCCCACTTTTTGATGATTCTATAAGAGCTTGATCCTGGGAAATGGGGAATTTCCATTGCCTATACCCAATTGCTCAGACACTTTCACTATACAGCCCAATGGATAGACCTACCCTGACTGAAAAGGGAACACTAGCTATTCAGAATAAAATGAGAGAAAATGCCATACCATTTATTGCTGCCCAAGTGGAAATATCTGCAGGACTTGGCAAAGGAATTGCTTTGGTCAGTGCTCAGACTGTCATTTCCTGCATAGAGAGGGCACTGGATTGACCATAGTGCTGTTGCAGTGGCATAGGACATTACTTTTGCTTATTGTGTGTTTTTTCTTGTAAGGGTAATTTTAAATACATCTCCTCTCAAGTAAAAGCAGTCTTTTTTTTTTTTTTTTTTTTTTTTTTTTGTCCTGTGCAGTTCACACGTTTGGTATCAGGGGTTTTTTTGCATAATCCAGGGACTTCCCTCATTTCTGCATCTCTGCCCAAACACTGACTGCCACTTCAGTTTTTGTTTGTGCTGGTCTCCTGTAAATAAAAATCATAAGTTGTAAGGTGTGCCAATGTTGTTCGCACTGTGATGGAGAACGCTTGGCAAGGGAAAGGAACTTCCACTCCTATTAGAGGAACTGATTTCACTTTCATGTGCTGGGAATCCTTCAAGGGCAGGGGAATCTTAGGGGAGATGGTTTTATTTTCTGTCATTTTTCATGAGCAACAGAAAATGAGGCTCTTGGGGTGGGGGTGTATATGGAACTATTTCAGTGTGTGAATTTACCATCTGTGGCCTCTTGAAGTTAAT